AAACTAAAATTTTATAATTTTCTTCACACAACTAGAGCTTTCTTTTGGTGGTTTTTAATCACCGCCAGGGTTTTTATTTTTTGCTAAATTAACAAAAAAAGACCAAAACTTTTGAAAAAAAAAAACACGTTTTTCTTTGCTTCTGTTATAAAAGTTTACAAATAAATAATTGTTCATAAATTTAGGCCAAGATGTATTCTGCTACATGTCTTTGGTGAAAATAACCCAAATTAGGATGTATTATTTAGTTTGTAGGAAAAGTTATAGAGTTCACAAACTATGGTATAGATCTGAAAATTGATCAATCCTGAAGTACTGACAGCCAATCTAATTTCTTGAGGTCCAAGAATGTCAGAACAGTACAGATATCCCCCAAATGACCCCTTTTTGTAAAGTAGACAGTCCGACGTACTTCATAAGAGGAATGGCGAGTTTTTTGAAGTTGTGTTTTTTTGTCATTTTTCGGAAAATGAAAAAAATTATTTTCACTTTTTTTTTTTTTTTTTTTTTTTTTTTTTTTACATACTGTCACCAGTGCAGTACGGCATCATCATATAACTGGCATGGCGGTGAACAGGGACACTGAGTGGTGACAGTATGAAATAAAAATATATATATATATATATATATATATATATATATATATATATATATATATTTTTTTTTTTTTTTTTTTTTAATTTTATATTGCATTTTTTTTTTTTTTTTTTTTTTCATATTTTACTATGACCAAAGTAGTAAAATGTTACCATAGTAACATTTTTTACTACTTTGGGGAAGTGATCAGTATATTTTTTTTTTTTTTTTTTTTTTTTGTGCTTAGCTGTGATTTGGCCACAGCTAATCACATGACATGTGCATGTGACCTGCTGTGACCATTCACAGCTAGGCACTAGTATACAATGGATGGCATGAATGAAGCCATCCATTGTATACAACTGTCATGTGACCTGCTGTGATTGGTCACAGCAGGTCACATGGTATCGGCAATAGGGGCCGGTACTCAGATCTGTCATTGGCCGTGTCCGAGGTACACGGCCGGTGATAGATCGCGCAGCTCTGCAACCGCGCGAACTGCGCATGTGCGGGAGGACGCCAAATGACGTACACCCCGGAAAGCTAATGCATTTTTGCGGCCGCCAAACGGCTATAGGCCGGGCGTCTAAATGGTTAAAGTGGAAGCCGTAATACCTTATTTCAGGTACATGTATAGCTCCGTCAATTTACGCAGCGCTTTACGTATATATTGTACATTCACATCAGTCCCTAACCTTCAAGGGGCGTACAGTCTAAGGTCCCTAACTCACATTCATACATACACATACTAAGGCCAATTTAGACAGGACCCAATTCACCTACCAGCATGTCTTTGGAGTGTGGGAGGAAACCAGAGTACCCAGAGGAAACCCACACAGGCACAGGGTGGTATGCAAACTCCAGGCAGGTGGTGCCGTGGTTGGGATTCGAACCAACAGCCCTAGTACTGCCAGGCAGAAGTGCTAACCATTTAGCCACTGTGCTGCCCACACATTTCCTTCAATGGTTTGACATCCTTCTTCGGCGCTGGTGTAATCTGTGCTGGGCTGTGGCTGTTTTCATTGGCCAGCACGGGATGACATCACTCCTGGGCAGAAGTTAGATCATATTGACACACTGGATCTGTGTCAAAATGTAAACAGGCTGTATTGCATAGCTCAGTGTACATATTAAAGAAGACTGCAAGCAGGCAGTTAGGTTTATTTTATTGCAGCAGAGACATGTGAAGCATTATAAGAGCCTTTCTACTCGCAGTCTTTAAAATTGAGATGTTAGTTCCTCAGGATCTGTTCTAGTCATTAAATGCTGGTTTAAATGGCTTCCTATGCTTTGCTACTCTTGTCAGTGCTCTATTAGTCCTGTCACAATTTAGTTTTATCACTAGCAATATAATTTAAATGTTCGAATGTTTTATATTATGCACTATAATTCAATGTACTTTTACTTATTGCTTTTATAAAGATTTTTATTTTAGTTGTCCAGTCTCATGAACAGTTTAAAAAAAAAATGTTCTCTTTATAGAAACTGCCAAACTGGAAGACGGATTAAAAAATAACTGGGCAAACATCCCACGTAGTAAAGTGATGCAGTGTGGTGAGTAAAGGCAATTCTATCTTTCTGGAAACCCTGATGTTTGGCTTCCCTTACAAATCAGCAATGTCCATGCTACCTGTACCTGAAACAACCTGAAACCTCTTCCTTATCTGTGAGCTTTTATTATTGTAGCTGTGTGGGAATGTGTACATGTGAGCTAGCTGTGTACAGTAATGCAATTTTTATTGCTCACTATATTTATTTTTTTGTTTCTGTTTGCAGAGTTAGAAAATTTGATCTCTCAGGAACAGATTGGTATCCGGTAAGATGGATAACACACACACTTATTTATTTTGTCACTTTAAAATTGTATATTGCGACTATTTCTAGTAAGTGCTAGCTTTAAAGGACATGTCCAGGTTTAGATACAAAGTTATACTATATTTACATGGTGGCTTAGGGTTGGTTCACACCAGATGCAGTCAAATGCATTTTTTTCTGCATCAAAAACGCATGAATAGTACGTGATAGGGATTACAGTGTCATAGTTCATACCAGTGCAGTGTGTTCCAGTGTAGAAAAAAAATAGGCCATGCTGCATACTTCTGTGCTAAACACTTGCATCAGCATTAGATAAAAGGCAATTCCAATGCGACACTGGTAAGAAGTGGGGGGTTTTTGTTTTGTTTTTTTTTTTTAATTTCACCTCTCCCTCCAGGTTATCCTTGCTGCCTAAGCCTAGGTTCACTTTATAGCCTGCATGTGAATAGCACAGGAACCGAACTGCATTCTGTGTGGTGCAATTTGAGACAATTTGTTTTGAAAGTACCAAAGTAGAGCAGGCACTCCTTTTTTTTTTTTTTTTTTTTTTTTTTTTTTTTTTTCTTTTTTCTTTTTTCTTTTTTTGAACTACACTGTAATCACGTTATTGGCTTTTACTATAGGATCCAGTTTAGGCAAATATATTGCCTTTGTGACCTGCATTTGGGGTGTTGTTCACTTTGAATTGACACCCACTGCAGATCGTATGTTTGCAATACGATGCGAGAAACACACAAGGATCACATGGTTGCCCTCACCGCATATGTATGAACTGGGGTTAAGAGTCAATTCACATCATGCCTGCACAGGACGTGCTGTGCAATTCTGTACGGTGCGATTTCAGTGCATGCACTACTTTTTAAAACGCACTGCAACAGATCACATGGTACAAAAGTACCATGAGATTTGGTGTGGGCAAATGCACTGCATTTTTGACTTGTGTTTGCGGTATCACTAGCTTTCTGTTGACACCCACTGCAGATCGCAAACAGAGTGCGTTTTGCATGCGGGTTGAATCACCCAGGAACGCACAACGTGTTCCTGTGTGGGGCATGGTGTGTACCGGCCCTAAAAACTTTTCTCCCAGGCACATTCCATTTACACCTGAGCATAGCAGAAAGATGCATTCCCGGTTTTTTTTTTTTTTGCGCGTAAACGCACATGAATGGGCTGCCTATGCACAATGAACACCGTCACGTCAAAACGCACAGCGCTCCACAACCAGGAAGCTTTCTGGGGCGTTTGTTGCATGCAGGGCAGCCCACTTAAAGGAATGGGGCTGCCTTATGTGTAGGCAGCAAGGATGACAAGGGAGGAGAAGTGAGGATTAAAGAAAAAAACATCCATCCATCACAGTTGTATAGGATGTCACAAAGCTTCTTATCTATTGCTGTTGCATCCTCTGAGATAACATGGAAATCTATGGAGCTGAATTCACACTGAAGTCTAGTGCACTCTGCTGAGTCCCATTCAAAATAATGTGATATCCCTTGTCATAAAGAGAGGAAAAAAAACCCTGGAACACATCAAAAGTGCAGGTAAACTCGCATGCTGAAATCTGAACTGCGTTTCTGTGGTGTGAACTGGACCTTTCTCTTATGGTATGGCTCATTCATGCTAATGGCAATTTACTGCATGAACAACAGTGAGAAGATTTTTGAACAAAGGATGTAAATATCTTGGGAGGCCGCTGTCAGATGTAAGTAGGCACCTGAGCGGAGTAGGTTAAAGCGGAGCTCCAGTCAAAATTTTAAAAAAGTCAGCAGCTAAAAAAAACTGTAGCTACTAACTTTTCAAAAACAAGCAGTCACCTGTTCCTTGATCCAGTGGTGTCCTCAATCAGCCGTGTTCACTGGCCATCCTGTGTCTCTGGTGCATGCATCTTCAGTGTGAGCATCTGGCTGTGACAGCTTGCGGCTCCACAGCCCGGTGCCCACTGTGCATGCGTGAGTAGCGATGCGCTTTTTGAATGGTCCCGTAGTCTTCTGGGACCTGTCACGTGTCCCAGAAGACTACGGGGAGAGGGGGAGGACACCTTCCATTTCCGATCGCCTAGGCCAGCCTTTCTCAACCTTCGTGATGCAGAGAAACCCTTGAAGTAACTTTCCGGTCTCAGGGAAACCCTGCTAAAAATTACTATATCTACAATTCATGATGCATTAGTGTGATGGTCAGTAGGAAGAATGCTCCTTACACTTGTGGTCACTGGAAAGAATTACTCCCTTTATTGATGGTTAAAAAGATCAATAGTGTCAGTGGGAACTTATCTGAGAGGCAGAAGTTGCTCATTGCTCAAGGAATCCCAAGCATCCTCTGGAGGAACTCTTGGGTTCCATGGAACCCTCGTTGAGAAACCCTGGATAGACGGTCGCAGTGGAAGTGGGTGAGCGGGTACCTGTCAAATTCGGGTACCCCCTCTCTCCCCCCGCTCCTCAAAAGTGCCAATCCCTAACGGAGTGGGGGACGAGACCTTAAAGCAGAATTTCTTCTTTTGGGTGGAGCGTTGAGAAGTGAGTGAGAATTTTTTTAATCCTTATTTCCAAAGAAGATAAGATAGAAATTAAAGCTACTTATATATCTGACTATTTTGTAGGGAAAAGTCACACTTGGAAAAACGAAAGGAAAAGGTCTTGACACGCCTTGGTTGCTTGCAGGACGAAGCACGAGGCCTTGACAGATGTTTGCAGGAACCTTGGTAAGAATAACCATTTTCTTACATATCCAGGAATGGCTCCAACCACTTGTTCTTTATTGGATGAAAGGGGCATATATATATATATATATATATATATATATATATATATATATTGCTTGTTCTTCACTACCACAACCATGGTTTTTCAAAACACCTTCTGATGAGCTGTTGCCATTTGACCTATGTGCCTGTGCATGGTTTAGCATAGAATACATTGGAGTAGCTCCTGGAAAAAAAAAACCAGATGGCTGTTTAGAGAGTTTAGTTTAGAGCGTAACCTTCCCTTGATAAAGTGGTTGTTGGCCTCATACATGAAATATGAACAAAGCATATCCTTCTATATTGTGTTTGTGTTTCAATCCAGAGCACTAAGTGTCATTTCTGCCCTCTGCCTCGTTCCTCTGATATCTGCAGGAGTAATTTCTGACAAGTTTTCCTGACACCAAGAGAAAAAAAGGTGACCGGGGGGGGGGGGGGGGACCTCCAACAAGGTACACCTATTAGAATGCCCCTATACAAAAGGTGCCCCTACCAGAGTACCCCCTTAGATCAGTAACCCTCATCAGAGTGCCCCCTCAGATCAGGTATCCCCATCATAGTGCCTCTTTACATAAGGTGTTCCCATTTGGATACCCCCTTAAATAAGGAGTCCCCCATTACAATGCCCATCAGAGTGCCCCCTAAACTCAGGTTTTTCCTTCAGAGTGTCCCCATACATCATATTCCCCCATCTATCAGTGCTCCCCCATACATCAGATTCCCCCATTAGAGTCTCACTACAGATCACCAGAGCCCATAAAAAACCAACAGGTGGCAGGAGCTCGGAGGAGAAGCGAGCCACAGGGGGTGGGGCACACACGAGAGGTCATTGGCTGCTATAACACTGGCAACAAACCTTCTCTGGCTCTGACACAGCAACAGGTTTCTCACTCCTGCAGGTCCTTCCTTGGGGATCTTTGTGTCAAAGGAGAAATTTTTTTGCTGCCTTCACCATGGTTCTCGATCAGCTGGCAAACATCTACAAGGATTTGCAGCAAAGTAACTGTAAATGGTCTAGGTCTCAGCCACCGCAGCTGATACATTGAGTTTCTACTTCAGGGTCAAAAGTGATAGGATTTAGGGTCATGGAATGCGTCCAAAGTGGTCAACTCCTAGATTGTAAGCTCCAAGGAGCAGGGCCCTCCTATCCCTCTTGTATTGAACTGTATTGTCTCCCGTTATATTGTAAAGTGCTGAGCAAACTGTTGGCGCTATATAAATCCTGTATAATAAATACTTTCCTATGCATGTTCACCTTGAGGAGGATTTGTACAAGGACTGGGTCTATCTGGATAAGGTGTTTACACAACAATATCTAATGGAAAGCTGTATCCTCAAAAAGTGGATTGTCCAAGGGTGGACACTGCTGTCTTATTTAAATAAGACTTAGTCCAGGAACTCCTTTCTGCTAAGGGGGTTTCAGAAGTTGATTTAAGCAGAACATACTGTAGTTTTTCTTTCCTTTTCTGCAGTGCCTTATCTTAAGATTGCAGCTGGAATATAGTTATGGCTGTGTGTCTCTCTTGGTGCCAAAATCTGACGCTTTTTTTGTGTTACCAAAGGGTTCCCAAATGGGATAGGTGGCCTCTCAATCCACAATTGTTAGGTGGAATCAGCAGATCATTACCTGAAGAGGATGGTTCCCTACTTTCCTATGAAGTGCTGTTGCTCTTTGAGTTTTCAGCATCATGCCTCAGTTTCATGTCCTGTACATTTACTACCTCGTCTTCCTTACACGTGTTTGTCAAGTTTTACCAGGTGGATGTTCAGGCTGCTTCAGACATCGGCCATTGATGGAAGGTCCTCCAGGCAGTCCTGTGAGGACCATTACTCCTACTTTTTTTTCTGTTTCTAAAAGATTGGTTGTTGCTGTGCCTGGTGACTGTTTGTTGTTTTGCAGTTGTCCACCCCTTGCAGAATTGCTTTTGGATGGCCCAATGGCCTGAGAATTAAATTCCCATGTTTTCTGTGATGTATGATTTTAAAAACTGGATATATTTTTTATTTATCTCTAAAATCCTTTTCTTGGCATTCCTCACATGCCACAGTTTCCTCCGCTCTTGTTTCCTCTCTGATATTGCTTGCTGACAAGACTGAGGCAATGCTGAAGTGGAAGGGGTTATGCAGGGCTCAGTCAAGCTAGCCTGTGACCAATCACTTGGAGGTGGAGCATAACCCAATGCTCTAATAATTCACTCTCCTGTGTCCTGTGATGTATTCCAAGAAAAGGATTTTACACATGAATATTTTTTTTCTTTATCATACAATATAGGGCACAGGTCTTCAAATCATATTGGTATGGGTTATATGCCACACGTTCAGGTAACTGAACACTGGCAGAGCCACTTAAAGCACTGCTTCATATAACAGCTCCTACCATGCAAGCCTCCATTTTTGTTACTAGCAACTTTAAGTGTTGGATGTATTTCTCTGTGTGAGAAAATGTTGGTAGTTGGGGAACAGTGAAATCTCCTATCAAGAAAAGTTTCAGGCTGTGCCAGTAAGCAGCGGCATTAGGTGTGCACTTTCCCGATAAGTGCCCCCCGGGTTTGTACAGAGGGGACTGTACCAGGACCCCTCGTGAAGGTACGAGCGGGCATGCCTGTAAGTTTGCAACTGCATTAGACCTGGTGTATAGGGGATACATGGTGCAGGGTGTGCATTTCCAGTGGGTGCTGTGCAAGTCCAAGGCCATGGTCCACCTCTGGAAGGGAACCCTGTCTTTGAAGATCTCCCTCTTATTGAAGGGAGAGATGTACCCAACTAAAATGGGTGAAGTTACACATAGTTTGCCCTAGGAATCCTGCCAAAGTTGTGGTAAGTTTGGTGCCAGACCGTTAAAACCGTTTTTTTGTGGCTGGTGTTCCATCACTGACTGAGTACTGTAGTGAGTGGATCGGAGTTGCAGACCCTTTTGTCGGTGCCATATTGCTTCTTCTATCTCTGTATAGGTGCATGTGCAGACACCATATTGATTTTTGCTTGGCTAGAGTGTGTGTGTGTGTGGGGTGCCATTTTGTCCTCTGAAACGTAAGTGCAGATGCTCTACTGTCCAAGAAGGCATATGTTCAGGTGCCTTTTTCTGTTAGAGCGCTTTTTAGGAGGGAGAGCATGAGGCAGGCAGCTTTCTACTATGGTCTCCACTGCCCAGCAGACAAGTACAGTGAAATCAGCCATCTGGCAATGTGGTTATTGCCTAAAGAGAGGCATGCCTTAAGGGGAGTGGACACTGCAGGTGGTCTCAGCTACCTTTTAATCCTGAGTGGAGGACGTCACACACAGTGAGGAGGTTGAAGACAGTTTGGCCAACGTCCAATCACTTCCTACTATCCTACGCGCTGTACAGTTTCCAGCAAGGGACTCGAGATCTAAATGTTTTTCCCCAATCAGACAGTCAGGGCTCCCCCTGTTGTCAAACTCAGGTGCAGTATTTTTTTTTTTTTTTTTTTTTAAATCAGATCTTTTTTTTATTTAAGTATGGATCCATGTACAGTATACATATAATCATACAACCACAATCTCCAACGGAGTGTGGCGTTAGTGTCAACAAGTTACATCGTTATAATGTGAAAGGGATACAAAGTCATGTATTCCGAAGATATAAACAACACATCCACTTGTGTGGTTCTTTCAGATAGGGGAAAATATGCTTTGAACAGGGCCTCAAAAAGCTTATCCACAGAATATGAGAAAGTTGGTATGGAACCACAAGTCTTGTTGAGACAATAGAGATTCGAAAGCAACCTTGGGAACAACCTATTTCTTGTAGGATTCCTCCTCAATGGGAAACCTAATGGGCAAAGCACTTTGGAACAAATATTTTTTGGGAAATTTCCAGTCCTCATCCAAAACATCCTTATAGCGATTCTAAAGGTTAATTTTTTTGGTAAAATAAAAGACATGTCTATACTTATCTCCTGTGTGCAGTGGTTTTGCACAGAGCAGCCTGGATCCTCTTCTCTGGTCCCCCACAGGCTCTCCTGGCTCCTCCTGTCTGCCAAGTGCCCCCACAGCTAGCAGCTTGCTATAGGGGCACCCACTGCTCTGTGTGTCCATTCACACATGGAGCCACGACTTGGTCCCGCCCTCTCTCTCTCCCCTCATTGGCTGACTGGCTGCGATTGACAGCAGCGGGAGTGAATGTCTCATGCTTGCTGTTTCAGCCAATGAGGAGGCAGAGACCCGTGACAGCCGAGACTGTCAATCACATCACTGGCTTGTGATGAGGCTCAGATAAGTATTGAGAGGGCTGGGGGAGCTGCTGCACACAGAAGGTTTTTTTACCTTCATGCATAAGACTTGGTTGTTTTTGACAGATTTCAAGGTGTGGTGTCCCACTCCACAGGATCCTTGCCACTAGAAGATGCTGTGGGACATACATTAGTACAGGGCATGCATGCGCCACCCTGTTTGGACATACTGATTCCTTCTTTGGGTCTGTCTCCTGGGCAGGTGTGGCCTGGCAGCCCCACTGTGAAAATGAATCCCACCTACCTGTGCTACTGAGCAGGCGCATTTATTTTGATATCGGTCCCTTTGCATTTGGGACACCAAGCTCTTAGGATGCACCTTGCAGAAGCTCTTCAGGCCACCATATGACTGGAGACCCCAAAGCCTCCGTTTGGTGGGACACCACACCTTGAAATCTGTCAACAACCAAGTCTTCTCCGTTGCATCCTCATGCTGAAGTGAACCTGTGCAAGTACTAAGTAATTTGCTCAACGATACCTGATAGTAGACTGTTTTTACAAAAAGTTGTCCCCTTTTTTAAGGCGTCATTTTCCTTGACTAGTGCAGTCATGCATCCATTGGGGTTTGTCAGGCTTTGCTGATATGGGCTAAGTGTATGGCAAAAAGAACCTGAACATTCCGGTCCAGTTCATTGTTCAGACAACACTTGAAGCTCTTCCTTGAAACGTTGTGCTTCTGCATGTATAGATGGGACACTTGTCCGTGTGTCT